TATACAGTAGTGGATGGGGGACATGAGATCAGAGATCCATGCAGTATACAGTAGTGGATGGGGGACATGAGATCAGAGATCCATGTAGTATACAGTAGTGGATGGGGGGACATGAGATCAGAGATCCATGTAGTATACAGTAGAGGATGGGGGACATGAGATCAGAGATCCATGCAGTATATATAGTAGTGGATGGGGGACATGAGATCAGAGATACATGCAGTATATATACAGTGGTGGATGGGGGACATGAGAGATCAGAGATCCATGCAGTATACAGTAGTGGATGGGGGACATGAGAGATCAGAGATACATGCAGTATACAGTAGTGGATGGGGGACATGAGATCAGAGATCCATGTAGTATACAGTAGTGGATGGGGGACATGAGATCAGAGATCCATGCAGTATACAGTGGATGGGGGACATGAGATCAGAGATCCATGTAGTATAGTGGATGGGGGGACATGAGATCAGAGATCCATGTGTATACAGTAGTGGATGGGGGACATGAGATCAGAGATCCATGTAGTATACAGTAGTGGATGGGGGACATGAGATCAGAGATCCATGTAGTATACAGTAGTGGATGGGGGACATGAGATCAGAGATCCATGCAGTATACAGTAGTGGATGGGGGGACATGAGATCAGAGATCCATGTAGTATACAGTAGTGGATGGGGGACATGAGATCAGAGATCCATGCAGTATACAGTAGTGGATGGGGGACATGAGATCAGAGATCCATGCAGTATACAGTAGTGGATGGGGGACATGAGATCAGAGATCCATGCAGTATACAGTAGTGGATGGGGGACATGAGATCAGAGATCCATGCAGTATACAGTAGTGGATGGGGGACATGAGATCAGAGATACATGCAGTATATAGTAGTGGATGGGGGACATGAGATCAGAGATCCATGCAGTATATAGTAGTGGATGGGGGACATGAGATCAGAGATCCATGTAGTATACAGTAGTGGATGGGGGACATGAGATCAGAGATCCATGCAGTATACAGTAGTGGATGGGGGACATGAGATCAGAGATCCATGTAGTATACAGTAGTGGATGGGGGACATGAGATCAGAGATCCATGCAGTATATAGTAGTGGATGGGGGACATGAGATCAGAGATCCATGCAGTATATAGTAGTGGATGGGGGACATGAGATCAGAGATCCATGCAGTAGTATATAGTAGTGGATGGGGGACATGAGATCAGAGATCCATGTAGTATACAGTAGTGGATGGGGGACATGAGATCAGAGATCCATGTAGTATATAGTAGTGGATGGGGGACATGAGATCAGAGATCCATGCAGTATACAGTGGATGGGGGACATGAGATCAGAGATCCATGCAGTATATACAGTAGTGGATGGGGGACATGAGATCAGAGATCCATGTAGTATACAGTGGATGGGGGACATGAGATCAGAGATCCATGCAGTATACAGTGGATGGGGGACATGAGATCAGAGATCCATGCAGTATACAGTAGTGGATGGGGGACATGAGATCAGAGATCCATGCAGTATACAGTAGTGGATGGGGGACATGAGATCAGAGATCCATGCAGTATACAGTAGTGGATGGGGGACATGAGATCAGAGATCCATGTAGTATACAGTAGTGGATGGGGGACATGAGATCAGAGATCCATGTAGTATACAGTAGTGGATGGGGGACATGAGATCAGAGATCCATGTAGTATACAGTAGTGGATGGGGACATGAGATCAGAGATCCATGCAGTATTTAGTGGATGGGGGACATGAGATCAGAGATCCATGTAGTATACAGTAGTGGATGGGGGACATGAGATCAGAGATCCATGTAGTATACAGTAGTGGATGGGGACATGAGATCAGAGATCCATGTAGTATACAGTAGTGGATGGGGGACATGAGATCAGAGATCCATGCAGTATAGTAGTGGATGGGGGACATGAGATCAGAGATCCATGCAGTATACAGTAGTGGATGGGGGACATGAGATCAGAGATACATGCAGTATATAGTAGTGGATGGGGGACATGAGATCAGAGATCCATGCAGTATACAGTAGTGGATGGGGGACATGAGATCAGAGATCCATGCAGTATACAGTGGATGGGGGACATGAGATCAGAGATCCATGTAGTATACAGTGGATGGGGGACATGAGATCAGAGATCCATGCAGTATACAGTAGTGGATGGGGGACATGAGATCAGAGATCCATGTAGTATACAGTAGTGGATTGGGGGACATGAGATCAGAGATCCATGTAGTATACAGTAGTGGATGGGGGACATGAGATCAGAGATCCATGCAGTATATAGTAGTGGATGGGGGACATGAGATCAGAGATCCATGTAGTATACAGTAGTGGATGGGGGACATGAGATCAGAGATCCATGCAGTATACAGTAGTGGATGGGGGACATGAGATCAGAGATCCATGCAGTATACAGTGGATGGGGGACATGAGATCAGGATCCATGCAGTATATAGTAGTGGATGGGGGACATGTGGAAGATCAGAGATCCATGTAGAATATCAGTAGCAAGATGTGGGTTGATATCGATTTTTACAATCCCATGTGCCTTTATAAGACATTAGGGGCTCATTCACATGACACTTACTTTAGTTCACACACATGTGGATTTCAGTGCTTTTTCCAGTTGCAGGAACTAGTTTTGCACTACAGTCCATTTAACATGATTTCCTAGTTCCACGTGCGTTTGAGCCCGTGGTGGTTTTTTTTTTTTAAAGGGTCCTGTGCAGATTGCGTTTTTGCGGGTAATAGACTTCAGTGTAACTGCACCAATCATGCAAGTGTTGCTTTTTTTGATGCATTCTACTTTCTAGTTTTTTACTCATAGCAAAGTATGACAGTTCTGTTTATGCAGTGCAATTTTGTTTTTTAAAAAATATTCAGTACGCATGCCGTGGGACATGTCACAAGGTTTTAAGTAAGGTCGTACAATCCAATGCAGTATAGGTCAGCTTTTCAATTGCTTGGTAACACAAATTAGATCGGCCAATCATGGCAGTTCTCGATGCATTGAGGCATCTAGACGTGGGTGGGGAAGATGACTTGCTGAAGTTGAAACCGACAGCATCAGAATGGAGAAAGGGGATTTAAGTGAATTTGAACGTGACATGGTTGTTGGTGCCAGACGGGTTGGTCTTAGTATTCCAAAAACTGCTGATCTACTGGAATTTTCACACACAAACCATCTCTAAGGTTTACAGAGAATGGTCTGAAAAGAGAAAATATCCAGTTAGTGGCAGGTGTGTGGGCGAATATGCCTTGAAGCCTAAGCGATTAGCGGTAGTTGTCCTCTCCCCCCTCCCTCCCCGTAGTCTTCTAGGACACGTGACAGGTCCCAGAAGACTACGGGGCCATTCACAAGGCGCAGTGCTTCTCGCACATGTGCAGTGGGCTCCCGGCTGTGAAGCCGCAATCTATCACAGCCGGATGCCCACATAAAGATGCCGGCGCCAGGGAGAGAAGACGGCCAGTGAAACCAGTAGTGGTGAGGACACCGTGGGACTGAGGGACAGGTAAGTGTCTGTATTTTAAAAGTCAGTAGCTACAGTTTTTGTAGCTGCTGACTTTTATTTTTTTTTACAGTGTGAGTGGAACCCGCTTTAAATATTTGTCTATCCCAGAATGGGAGGAGTATATCAAGCACCAGGATGTGATGATGATATCTGGATGATGGCTGCAGCTTCAGTCATCATCCAAATATCAATCTTTAGCTAGGTGCCTGGTTGTCAGGCCAGGACTTTGCATTAATGTTTTCCAGTAACCAGAACAAGTATGCAGGTATGCCTTCTGACTTTTCTCCCGGTGCTCCCGAAGCTCAGTGACTCAGCAATCCTAAAGCATGTTTGATATCTATTTACTCAGCGTAACATCATCTTTTATATTTTACAAAAAAATTGGGTTATATATTGTGGGATGCACTGATATATCAGGCTGACCGAAATGTTGGAAAAAAAGGTGCCGATAATGGGCGCTGAAAACACTTGATTTTGCTCCAGTTTTACTATGTTTAGGGTGCGTATTTCATACATCATGTGACTCAAAAAACGCATCAAAACCATGTGGGTTTTATGCGTTTTCAATGCATTTCAGGCCTGGTTTCACACCAATGCAGTTTGCATTGTGCAGTGCATTTTGCGTGCATGTTTTTGATGTGTTTTGCATTTGTTGTTTTTTTTTGTCCAACTTGGGCAGATTAAAAACAGAAACAAGTGAAAAACCTGTCAAAATGCGTTTTCGGCAGCGTCTTTATTGAAGTCTATGAAACCAAAAATGCAACGTTTTGCATTTACAAAAGTCCCTGACCACTTCCAAAAATCAGCTCAACAAAAGCATAGATGTGAATGTATCCCATAGGAAACCATATTAAATGGATTGTAGTGCGTTTCAGCAAAAAGCGCTAAAAAAACGCAGTGGTGTGAACCAGGCCTGGGGAGGTGCATTTTTCTTTAATTTGCCAAAAGTACGGCAAGCAGAATTTTTAACACCACAAGGGAAGCGCAGTGAACCAATACGAACACATACAATGAATTTAAAAGGATGCATTTTTCTTGCGCCTTTGTCTTAACGCGAACGTGCTTCAAAAACTGCTCAGTGTGAAAGCAGCCTATTAGTATTGAAAAAAAATGCATTTAAATTCATGATATTAATTTAAAAAGTCAAATACAATAATATTATATATAATTTAATAAAATATATATCATTTTTTTTTTTCGTTCATTGAACTGTCCATTTCAGCTTCGGTTTTCGGCCAAATGCATTCTGAATTTTCGGTTTCTGTCCTGAATTTTCATTTCAGTTCACCACTAGTTTTTTCTTTTTTTTGTGTGCATTAACCACCTTCCGCCCGCCCTATAGTACAATGATGGATGCAAGGTGGTTCTCTCGTTCTGATTGGACATCATATGATGTCCTACCATTCTCACTGCGCATGTGCGGCCCAGGGAGCGCGCAGCTCAGCGATCGGGGGACACAGCAGATCACGGAAAGAGCTGTAGATGTCGGCTCGGTCATGTGATCAGCTATGTCCAATCACAGCTGATCACATGTAAACACGGAAATGGTGGTTATCAGCATTTCTCTCCTCTCGAGCTGTCACGCTGGCAGCTCGAGAGGAGAGGAGAGCCGGGTAATCTGCTTTCCGCGGAGGTGACATGTAGACTGATCATCAGGGCACTGATGATCAGTGTGCCCTGATGATCAGTGTGGCCCCAGAAGTGTCACCTGTCAGTGTCCATCAGTGCCACGTGCCCATCAGTGCCATGTGCCAGTGCCCATCAATGCCACATATCAGTGCATACCAGTGCACATCAATGCCACATATCAGTGCCCATCTGAGCTGCCTTTCAATGTCACCCATCAGTGCCAGTCAGTGCCGCCTATCAGTGCCAGTCAGTGCCGCCTATCAGTGCCAGTCAGTGCCGCATATCAGTGCCATGTATCAGTGTCATGTATCAGTGTCATGTATCAGTGCTGCCTTTCAGTGCTCATCAATGTTTTTCAAAATGTTCAGTGGTTTTTGGTTTGTTTAAGAAAAAATAAAAATCCCAGAGGTGATTAAATACCACCAAAATAAAGCTCTATCTGTCTCAAAAAAATTATAAAAATTTCATATGGGTACAGTGTTGCATGACCGTGCAATTGTCATTCAAAGTGCCACAGGGCTGAAAGCTGGAAATTGGCCTGGGCAGGAAGGGGGTAAAAGTGTCCGGACTTGAAGTGGTTAAAGTAGTACTTTTTCAGAAACCTTCTCATATGTATAAATGTAACACAGCACAATAAACCATAAACACTTGCCCTGTATTGGATAAAAATTCGAAAAAGTGTGTTTTTTACCCCAAAAAATTGCATTTCAAAAACCGCTCTGCAAATACTGTGTGGCATTAAAAATTGCGAAATCCACACATTTATTCTCTAGGGCCTCTGCTTTAAAAATGTATGTGTTTGGGGTTCTAAGAAATGTTCAAGTAAAAAATATTGAATGTTGAAGTGCCAGAAAAGGCCCGGTCTTCAAGTGGCTACAGAATGAAAGGGAAAAGTGTTTTAAGCGCCCCCCTCACCCTCAACACATGGTGGCGGCAGCAGTAGGTTTCCAGGTTCTCCTGCACATGTATCTTACAGGGAGGAAAAAACAAGAGGAAAGGTCAGGTGACCTTTTAAACTTTTTTTAGAGGAGTCTGGTGACCCCATAAAAGGATGAGGTCAGCTGTGAGGGAACGCCACATGTCAGCTTCCCGGCCATCCGCCTGTTTTGTTGCAGTTAATATGTGGTGGGTCACCTTGTTAGCAAGGGGGACAGTTATTTTTAAGAATTCATCTATTTATAGATACGGCTCGAGTTGTAGTGATGGTTTCTGGATGAGTAGATTGCTTAGAATTTGATGTTATTTATAAAGATTTAGTCAATACTGTTTTACAACCAATAATAAAGGACCACAGCCATTTGTTATGCTGTATAAGTTTGTGTGTTTACTCCTGTAAAGTAGAACTAAAGGCAACATTTTTTTTTCCATTTCGAATAAAGTAAAGGAAGGTTATAACGCCTGTCAGATTTGTAATTTTCTTTTGGTGATCTGTGTGCCATTGGGGAGATTTCCCTTTCATTTTATGTCCGAAAGCTACAACAGGTATTGAAAGAAAATCTCTCCAAAGTGAGCGGATCCCTGGGTGTCACCAGAACTGGTGTCCCCCATTGGAAGATGTCCCCTCTGTTACTGTGCTGGGGACAACCCAGCATTTGGGATTATCTTTTACTTTCACTTTCATGGTAAACAGGAAGGACAAATAGGGTGAATCTCCCTAATGGGGACACAGACAGAAATAAACACCTAACAGGGGTTCTAATCCACCTCCAATCTCTCCAAAGTAAAAAAAAAAAAAAAAGTTTTGCTTTTAGTTAACCGCGTTAAGACCGTCCCACGTAGATATACTACAACAGGGCGGCTGTTATGCACAGGATCACATACCTAGTACGTGATCTGGGTAGGGAGCACACACACGCGACGCGGCGCCCCCCCCCCCCCCCCCCCCCAGCTGTGCTGTGATTTAGCACAAGGAGATAAGCTGATCCCAGCCAATGATTAATGACCGGGACCTGCTGATCACTCGACGAATCACAGAACAGTGCCCGTGTTGATAAACAACACAGGGCACTGTACACAGAGAAGCGATTCTGCTGGGAAAAAATAAATAAGATTCCTTAATAAAAGTAGCACATATCGCACACACTGTGTGTTAGGCACACAGTTAACCCCTTGATCTCCCCAAGATGTTAACCCTTTCCCAGCCAATGTCATTAGTACAGTGACCATGTAAAGTATTAACACCGATCACTGTTTTAGTGTCACTATTGATGTCCGTGTCAGCTAGTGTCAGATTGCCTGCTATCAGTCGCTGATCGCTGCCATTACTAGTATAAATAATAAATAAATAAAAATTCCAGTATACATTGTAGACGCTATAACTTTCACGCAAACAATTCAATATACACTTACTGAGATTTTATTTTTTTACCAAAGACGTAGCAGAATACATTTTGGCCTACATTTATGAAGAAATGTGCTTCTATTTAAATTTTATGGGGTTTTACAGCAGAAAGCATTTTTTTTTTATTTAATTTCTATAAAAAAAAATTAAAAACCCCACTGGTAATCAAATGCCACCAAAAGATTTCTGTGCAAGAATATTACATAAATTAAATTTGCGTACAGTATTGCATGACTGCGGAATTGGTGGCTAAAGTAGCACAGTGCCGAAAAGCAAAAATAGCCTGGTCATGAAATGTTCCAGAGCTCAAATGGTTATACGTTGTACTTTAACCATTAGCCGCCCGGCCTATAGCCGTTTGGCGGCCTCAAAAACGTTTTAGCTTTCTGGGTGCACGCCATTTGGCGTGCTCCTGCACATGCGCAGTTCGCGCGGTTGCAGAGCCGCGCAGTGGCGCGATCTGTCACTGGCTGTGTACCTCGGACATGGCCGATGACAGATCTGAGTACCGGCCCCCGTTGCCGGTACCATGTGACCTGCTGTGACCAATCACAGCAGGTCACATGACAGTTGTATACAATGGATGGCTTCATTCATGCCATCCATTGTATACTAGTGCCTAGCTGTGAATGGCCACAGCAGGTCACATGCACATGTCATGTGATTAGCTGTGGCCAAATCACAGCTAAGCAAAAAAAAAAAAAAAAAAAACCCTGAATGAATCGATTTCATTCAGGTAAATGCTTGCTTATAGCAAAGTAATTCTTTGCTATAAGCAAATTTTGTAAAAAAAAAAAAAAAAATACTGATCACTTCCCCAAAGTAGTACAATGTTACTATGGTAACATTGTACTACTTTGGTCACAGTAAAATATGAAAAAAAAATCTTAAAAAAAATGTAATAAAAAAAATTTAAAAATAATAAAAAAATAAAGAAATATATATATTTTTTTTTTTCATACTGTCACCAGTCAGTGTCCCTGTTCACCGCCATGCCAGTTATATGATGACTTTTACTGCACTGGTGACAGTATGTAAAAAAAAAAATAGTGAAAATAATTTTTTTAATTTTCCAAAAAATTATGACAAACAAAATACAACTTCAAAAAACTCGCCATGCCTCTTATGAAGTACGTCCGACTGTCTACTCTGCAAAAAGGGGTCATTTGGGGGATATCTGTACTATTCTGACATTCTTGGACCTCAAGAAATTAGATTGGCTGTCAGTACTTCAGGATTGATCAATATTCAGATCTATACCATAGTTTGTGAACTCTATAACTTTCCTACAAACTAAATAATACATCCAAATTTGGGTTATTTTCACCAAAGACATGTAGCAGAATACATCTCGGCCTAAATTTATGAAGAACAATTATTTATTTGTAAACTTTTATAACAGAAACAAAGAAAAACGTTTTTTTTTTCAAAATGTTTGGTCTTTTTTTGTTAATTTAGCAAAAAATAAAAACCCCAGCGGTGATTAAATACCACCAAAAGAAAGCTCTAGTTGTGTGAAGAAAATTATAAAATTTTAGTTTGGGTACAATGTTGTATGACCGCGCAATTGTCACCTGAAAACTGGGCAGGAAGGTGTAAAATTGCCCGGTATTGAAATGGTTAATGTTATGTATACTTCTTGCCCTCTGCCTATGATCACAAAAATGAACGTTGCGTGTTTTCATGTCCTCGTAAGATATGCCAAAGTTTGCTGCATTCAGAGGTGTTTAAATGTGGACGCAGCAACACTGTGCTATAGCCGCATACAGACTGAGTGAAAGGTAAAAGGGAGGTTTGTGTGCAGCCAGAACTTGTCAGAAACGCCAACCCTAGACGCAGACGTGTGGATTGTAGACTCTGTACACATGTAATCACTCAGATGTAAACAGCGGTGGTGCTGGTCATTGGTTTGTACAGAATCATAATGTGACAGCTGCTGCTGTTTGTACACAGGCAGCACCAGGGTGGATTTGATTTAAATCACGATTTAAATCACTAGTCAGTAAGGCTTGATTTAAATCCTAGTTTTCTACATAAAGACTAATTCTTGCTGGTATAACTTTTTAATCTGCAAGTAATGAAGATTTTTAGAATAACTTTTCATATTAGTTTTTTTATCCCCAGTTTAATAGGTTAATCATTCATATTTGGACAACTTTTCTGTTGTACTTAGGAAGGAGAAAAATAATCATTACCTTAATAATAACAATTTTTAAATAGATTTATTCAATCTGAAACAATAACATTCCAGCATATGTTATTTGCTTAAACATCCATGTTTGTTAACTAATTTGGCTAAACAAAATATATATATTTTAAGAAACTTAGACTGTCAGCCCCTTCCTCCTCACACTTAGTTTCACTTTCTTCTTGTGCAGATCTATTCCACTCCAAACAATCAGAAAAATATTGTTTCTATTCTATTCACTGAACTTCTTGAAACTTAGCACTGAAGGGGTTGATTCTGTATTCATAGGTTTGTAGAAGTTAGGATTGAAGGTCTTTTTCTTAACTCTGTTCATGTTCTAACATTTTTGCTGTGAAGAAGAGGCATGTGATCTCCACTGAGTCAAATTCAGTTTTGAGAACTGCAAAAGTAAACCAAGCATATGTGATAATATCTTGTAGGCAGAGAAACTGCCCAATAATCTTACAAAAACCTCTGGAAGAGCATGACATTGTGAATGGATTCATGGAATTTATTTACCAAAAAAAATGAAACATATACAGCCTTATTCTACATAATTAAAAAAACAAATCTTTATTTCATGATGGAATAACCTTTGGATGGTAATATTTTTTCCTCAAAAAGCATTTTATTTAAAAAAATCGATTTAAATAAAAAAAATTGATTTAAATAAAATAAATCCGATTTAAATTAAAAAAAAATTTTTTTTTTTTTTTTAAAAAAAATCATTGATTTTTATCCACCCTGGGCAGCACTTAG